TTACTGGGGTGGTCCAGTCTGGGTAATCTTCTGTCATATACAACTACAACAACCAACCCATTGTAACAACTACCGACAGCTTGGAGAAAATTAAAAAACACTGATTTGGTTTTTAAATGCTCATAATGTTATATACAGACATACAGACACAGTACAGGTTTTCTCTGTTAAAAAAGTGAACATGGTGCAGAGGCGTACCATGTGGTTCCTTATCTCAACTTTGTGACATGTTGTTGGAGTCGTTTTCACCGATCTAAGATTTACGGTTGATAGTGGAGCACCTCTGGTATTATACCTGTAAGGTTAGGCTCGTGTAGGCTCTCAGCCATCACATGCAATCTATCCTGAGGATGGAAATGTCGATAGTTACAGCTCCCTGCAGCACACAGAAGCGGTGCATGTGTGTGCCAGAGCCTCTGATAATTTAAAGACTTTTCTCCACGCAGCTTGTTTTAATTACTGGGAATAAGTGGCAGCATTTGGTCAGGTTTATAGGGCTTCTTCAAAGAGGAAGCTTGCTTTGGACAGAACAATTTGTGGCACTGGAAAGCAGTAATTCAAAAAAGTGAGCAACTACCTCCACAAACAATGCCCCAGGCACACACAGCCAAGGAGCCAACAGGATTGAAAGGAAGCTGGAGCTATTTCTTAAAGCATTAGAAAACCTTTCATCATCTTTCAGCCTGTCTGCAATCATCTGGTCACCCACAAACTATTGAGCGTAAAGTCTTATGAAAAACCATGCGTCATTTAGCACTGCCGATATCCAAACCAATGAGAAAGGAGCCCTGGGCGACTGTCGCGTCTTATGGATAACAAACTGCCAGTGCTATACAGGCTGGACTCCACTCAGGGTCAGCACTGGGCTGGAGAAAACTCCTGACTCTTAGGTGAACTCATTTCAATCCTCATACAATACTGGCCTCCCTAATGATGGCAGCCTCAGGCAAAAGGAGCTCGGATCCATTCAACTATACACTCAAACTGCACATACACCACCACCAGTCACTATTGGAATATAACATCTGAATTACAACTGCTACATCTGAAATTAGCAAATGTATTGTGGAACAAGTTTGAAGGGTAAAATGAATGCAAATACAGTTATACAATTGAACAGATTGTCATTTCACCTGAGAACAGGCAGAAAACTTATCTGATCATGATGTCATAGTGGTAATGACTATTACAGGGACTGAGACAGGTTTTAGACAGAAGGGGCGGAGTTACATTTGAGTCTCATCATTAGCTTTGGTGGATTTAAAAACCACTCCATGGTCAACTACTCTACTACGTCTAATACAAACTACAGAATTCCTGTATTGTGTCCATCTGGTTCCAAACCAAGTCGTTTTTTGGTGAGGGAACAATTTGTAACGTAGGTAAAAGCTCAAAAACAAGAAACACTTAGTAGCTCCATCCATCTCCACTATCAGTGACAATGAAAAAGAGGATCATCAGAGCAATGCAACAGAATACCAATTACTTCCACATGCATAAATCACTCCAAAAAACATCGTAAGAGTGAGAAAAGGTAAATTATAACTTGTGTTGGGGGACAAAAATATTCTGTTCAGTACCACAATATTTTGCGCACAGCATTAAATCAATAGTTTACATCTGAGGTCAATTTCTGTAATGCCTGTGAGGGACATGAATCGCAATATATCGAAGAATCGAATCGCAACACTGCATCGCAATATGTTAGGAATCAAAATAATATTGAATTGTGGCCCAATCATTATTATTTTGCCAATTCCCACCCCTAATTATGACAATGACAACAGGTCAACTTACTGCTCTACTACATCTAATACAAACTCCAGGATTCCAGTTTTGTGTCAATCTGGTCACAAAGTCAGTCAGTTTGTCTGCGTTTGAGGAAAGATGTTTTGCCCCAGCAGCAGCAGGCAGTAGTTTCAGTTTGCACACACGCACAGAGCAGAGTGAGCCCTGCTGCGCTCACTGTTCTTCTCATACTGCTATAATTAATCACTCCACAGTCACACCTTCTCTAATAGAAATTCTACTTTATCATTGTTATAATTACCTCACACAGTCAGGCAGTATCGATGGAGATCACTAGAAATGTATTTTCACTTATTAATATGTGCATACATTTAACATGACCTTGCTGGAGCTGGTGAGTCAATGTGATGGATATCAGAGGAATAGTTGATAAAGTGTAAAATAATCTTTGGCAATACATTATTTTTAGGGATTCAATTTTAATCTGGATGATATTACTATGCACACCCCACTCATTAATCAAGCTGACAGCCAAAACAGCTTTAATAGTTTTTGGTTTTTTTTAAGAAAATAGTTAGTCGAGAGTATAGTACTTGGAAACATCTATGGTTGTAGAATATCACAACAGATTTCACTGAGTGGCAGTGAAGAGCAGATGATAATACAAACATAAGGGAAAGATTCCATTTTTTATAAGTTGAAAAATGAAATGACCAAATGTTACCAGGTAAGTCTTTTCACCTGCCCTGCACCACATGTTGTGATGTCACATGAACTTATATTTATTCAGTCCATAGCGGGGTTGAAAGAAATGAAGTAAATCTATCTTTAAAGGTGGTATAAATAGTTAGATAGATGAAAATGGTGATGAAGTAGTGATATTCAAAACCAATCTTTATAGCAACTTGAAACGATTAAGGAATAAATATTTAACTCATACTCGCTCATTGAGAGGCGTTTCATGTTGTTCTTGTGATGAGTGCTCTTCCAGTTCACTGACATCTCCCCACTTACTGTAAACAAAGGTTTTCTCTGATCTCTGAAGCTGCACGTGGGATGCTAATGAGGCTATGCTAACTGTAGTGCACGTACCTGTTCTCAGGAGACCTTGGAATAAATGTAGACAGTTTCTTTCTCTTCGTACCATCCATCAGAAGCAGTAACAATCGCCTATTGATAGTCCGAATATGTCGAAAAAAGGAAAAGAAAATATAGTCTAAACATGAGACATAATTTTATAACATCCACTCATGGATCAGTGCGATGTGAAGCTAGCTAACAGCGAGTGCAAACACAACAGATTTAAAGCTGAGGTACCTGAACCTATTTTAAATTATCATTTTATGAGAAAATTATAATATATGCCATATACATTCAAAGTATCATTATCAATTGTGGCAAACGAGAATTAGAATGAGTTCTGTCTAACATTTCTTGTTTTTTATATATCTTCTATTTCTATATTTTCTTCAGAACGAGGCATATTTTTGGCCAAATGGTATTCCCATATACAGTAAATGGTCAAAATAAAAATAAAACTGTCATAGGCCCTTTAAATGAAAAGACCACTGCTTATATTAAGAAGAAACCATTTTATTCACAAGTACAATAACAGAAAACACAAGCTGCCATATCATACATTTGTACAGAGGATTTGAAAATCCTTTTTTAAACAAAGGTAATATAAAATATGAGATTAGATATGAAAATGACTTTACATTTAGAGTAACAATTCCTTGGAAAAGGGTCTTGGTTTGGTAATTATGAGCCTAACCCTACCCTCTGTGAAAACTGAGATCAGAATGGTAAAAATGTAACAAAAATTATTGTAAAAATGATTTTAAAAATCCATGCAGCATTTTCAGAGGGCCTGAGAAAGTACACCATTGTAAAAAAAAAAAAAAAGAGAGAAAAAAGAATGACTTGTAAGTCAAAGTACTGAGAAAGTTGTTTTAGAATATAAATCAAACAAACCAAAATTGTGTTATCTCTGCAAACAATCATCTTGATCATTTATGCCAGGCGTTTATTCCTTACACATTCTGGCAGCTACAAAGAGCTGATATCATGATTGACTTTTATTAATTCATGGGGAAAATCACAATCAATCTTGCCTTTTTACAAAAGAAGCTGGGACAAAAGAAGTCCTGCTGATGCCTTTGAATACTGAGGTTTGTGTCGGAGTTGCAGTACGTGTGTTGGAATGCATAGAGCTGAGGCTTGGTAGAGCTTGATCCTGTGTAAAGGCAAACAGACTGTGCCTCTGGCTTTTACAGTGTTGAGACAGCCACCAGTCCAACCCTTTTAAGTGGCAACATGGCTCGCTGATGAACCCCACCAAAAACCATTCACTGTGTAGGAAAGTTAGTTGGTCACATTACCGCATACTGAGGCACCATAATACAATGGCTAAATCAACAATACTAAATCACAATCAGTCACAGTGGCCCTCTGATATGTTTTGGCTTAATATGGTTCTTAGTAAAGATAACATGGGCAAACACAGCCAATGCTCTCATCCTCCAACAGAACTGCGGCTCTGCCTTAGTGCATCCGCCGAGACAAAGGCAACTGGAAGGATAAAGAAAACATTCACTCAAGCCAGCGAGTGTTCAGAAGCCAGCTGGCACAGCATGAGTGACAACAGCAAATGCAGTCCTTGATGGTACTGAACATTGTCCAGTCTGAGTGCAGAACCAGATATAACATAAGTAAGGCGCATAAGGCTGAATGAATATGAGTAAAATGCTGAGGTTTGACAAAAGGCAAGATCTGGGAGCGCAATAACATTAGCTTATTGCTTTTCTATTTTTACTTTTTATTTTTTTCCTTGTGGAATATTTTTTACACACCACATGTCATATAAATACACTATACAATGCAATATAAAATATTTTATTTTAAAAGCAATATGTTCAGGGCTTGTTTAGGTATGCCTTAGATACCTGCGACATTTATAAAATAATGACTCACACCAAAACAAAAAAAAGGCACTGCAGGTGTTGTTCATGGACTCTTAAGTATGTGATGGCCATTGCTCTGCCAAACAGGCTAGAGCAATTGTGCTAATGTTTCTCTCCTCAGTCTTAAAACATGTCACTGGCAATGAGGCACTGTAGCTTCAGGTGGGTCAGTTCTCATTCACCTCGTCTTCAACTCTTTTTTCCATCATCTTCACAAACTGCTGCTACATATCACCCATCCATCTGTCTGTTCACTTCCACTTCCCCAGTTTCGACTTGCTTTTGTCTTCACACTTGGATCTCACGCAGTCCCTCCTGAGCAACAGGTGGAGAAGACGTGCTGATGTCAAAGCAGGTCACCATCATAACATGGGACTTGCATAAGTTGACACAGAACTCCAGCTCTTCAGTGGCCTGTGCCAAGGCCTCCACGTACTCAGGAGACTCTTTGTCCAAACTTTGGTCCAAATCAACTGTGAATAGAGAAAGACAGATTCCACGTCAGCTCACAAGAAAACAAACAGAATACAAATAATTCAGTCTTATAAATTGATTGAAGTACTCACACTCTCCCTTCCACTTGCTGGGATCCATCATCAGTCTGGCCTTGGTGTCTTCCAGCTCCTCCAATAATGTTTCATGCTTCACCTTCAGTTCTCTCACTTGCTGTTGTCTTCTTTCCAGTAGTTTAAGCTTGCTATTAAAATACATAAGGCCCTGGCAAAAACAAACATGTCCCATCATTTTTTTAGATCAAATGTACAAAAGAAATGTTGCCTTCAAAAACTTGAATTGCAAATATTGAGCTTACCTTATCCACATCCTGGAATGGCTGCTATTGGTAGAAATGATGAAAAAGAAAGAAAGAAAAATATTTAAGTTAGCTTGATGAATAACCCATCTATACCATTTAATTTTTTAAAGCTTATTCATGGCCTCTCTTCCTTTGCTGTAGATCCTTTTGATCATTACTACTCCAGTCAGTGGTGGGTAACTGTATAGATCATATGCAAACCAATTAACCCTGGAGAGTAATTGCCTCATGAACTCTTGACATTCCTGAAAAGTCTTGTCAAAGTCCAAGCTGTGAGAATTTGGTCCCAGACGTTTCTAAAGCTGGGATGCACTGCGAAGCTAAGTGAAGGTCACACGGCCAAGACACATTCATCCTGCCATGTTCTTTAAAAAGTAACTGGGAAGACACAAGTGGAGACATTCCCACAACGTCCACCAATGTGGCACTTCTCAAGCATGTATGAGATCAATGTCATACATGGAAAATACTGCTGAGGCTTAGCGAGGGGGATTTACAGGAGTAAAATTAAGACTTGACACTGTCTGTAACAAGTTTAGCAGAAAGATGGGCTGTGCTAAAAAAGTTCCCTGTGACCCCAGGCTCACCTCCACTGTCTCCTCCTGCCGCCACCTCTGAAGACGTTCCACATCATCAATCTCGTACACTTTAATCTCAAAGGGTTCCTTCAGAGCCCCAGACATTGGGGGCAAATCCACCCACTGGCCTGCAGTGGCCACCTTCTTCCCCAGGGATGCTGTGTCGGGCAGGGGAGCTGGGATAAGTCTCCTCCTCTGAAAGCCTATAAAAATGCATACACTTGTTATTATGGTGACATACAATAGCTGCATTTGCTGTTATCTCTCAGACTCCAGAGTTGTAAAGCGATGCAAGGCTTTACACGGCTGAGGTGTGCTGATTGCATATTTATGAGAATACAATTCTCCATATACAGCCTGAATGTATTCAAAAGGTTATTTTACTGCACATCACTACACACACAAGGCCACAAAACGCAAAGCAGGTCAGCACAGCTCATGTTCAATTCATCTAGTTTGATCATTGTGCGATTTCAGGTTATATTCTTTGAATCATTCATTATCTTTTTTCCTATATACTGTACAATATCAATGCATAATGTATATATTGCTAATTCAGAAAGTACATTTTGTGAATGCAAAAAGAATGGACCCATAAACTTTCAATCCAACAAGAGTGCCAAATCATAAAGTATTTATTCCTTTGCCAACAACTTCTACTTTTCTCTACAAGTTTTTCTCGACAAAAACGTAAATTCTCTCAAAAAATTTGTAGTACTCACCAGTTGTTCTTTTCTTTGGATACTTGGAGCTTCTTGTCCGGCATGAAGACGACATTCCGCTCTCACTCATGGAGTCATGTGCAGAGGAGGCGCTGCCTGTAGCCTCGCTGTCTCGGATCATGCTTTCATAGCCACTGCTGCCTCCGCTGTGGTAGAAGAGGGCAGTCCGGCCCATGGCAGGTGGAAGCTCCCCACTCAACACGCTGCTGTTGTCGCTGCCATGTCCACTGCTGTAGCGCTGAGGCCTCCGTGGCGCTGTAATTTTACTGTAGGGTGACGGCAGCATGGGCAGCGGAGCTCTGTCCTCGTTCACATTTACTCCACTGTCATTTCCGCTGTCCGAGTCTCCTGAACTTCTCGTGTGCTTTCCTGACATGTTCCCAGCTGACAGTTCACTCACTCGACTATTAGCAGCTCTCATAGCCTGCTTGGTGCCCATGATGGTTCCTCTGCCCGGCTTGGTACTTGCTGCAGCAGAGGCACGAGGAGCTGTTGTTCTTCCTGTTGGTGGCAGATTGGCGTTGGTGTTCTTAGCCACTGGAGAAGCTAAAGATTTGGTGGACGAACTCAGACCTTTTGAGTTGTTGGTAGACAGCGAACGTGCCTTGCTATTAGTACTAAGTAGTCCCAAGGCTTTTGGGTTAGCTGATGCTTTCACTTGGCTACTCTTAATACTTCCTCCACTTGGAGACGATGGGCAGGTTGCAATGGGTAAGCTCGATGAATTTGGAATTCCAAGTCTTTGATAGTTCTTACTTGACTTACTGCTGCCACCGGTCAGACTGGCCCCACTGTTCTCTCTACTGAGTGTTGCTCTCGAGCCTGAAATGGAGCCACCGTCAAATCTCTCAAGGGATACCTGGCTGCCATAGTGTTGCCCACTTTCTCCCCTGTGTCCTCGTCCTTTCAGACTGGAGCTAACTTTGGTTGCAGTAAGGTCAGACTTGGAGCTTCTAAAGCCAGAGTCCACTTTGTCAAGATCTTCCACAGACACTGCTGCTCTTGGTCCTGAACCTCTCCCCGTCTCTCCATACACTGACCGTAAGGCACTTTGGGGAAGCAAGCTCTTGGCCTTGTGGTCTAAACTGGACTTTCTAACTGGAGGTGGTGGAGGGGATGTGCAACCGGGTTTGGGGATGTTGCTTGCTTTCTGATAGTGAGCCTTGCTGCTTTTACCTAGGGAGGAGAACTTAAGGCTTGTGGTTGATGTAATAACATCTTGTGGAGCTTTGTGTTCAGTGGATGAGTGGATAACAGGCACCGTACCGAGAGTAGTAGCACCTCTTCTGAGCTGAGGCATGCGGCTTGGGGGATTCTTAGTGGCAGACTTCTCACAACCATCAACCACCCTCTGTGATGAGGTAGACCCAGAGATCTTGGGTGGTCGAGGTACACTGTTGCTATGGCTGGATGCTCTACTGCATGGGATGCCAGTGGGTGGGTTTCTGACAAACTTGCTGGTGTTGTTGGAGGCAGTAGGTTCAAGCCGTTGCCAGGGATTTTCTTGTTTAGTATCTTGTCTCAGAGTGTCTTTACTAATGCTGCTACTATTTGAGATCGATGAGGTAGGTTTTGTCTTCGGGGAAGAGTGGACTGGACAGTGGCTGGGCCCTGTGGAAGCTGGGATGAGCTAAGAGAGTGAGCTTTAGTAATTTTTGAGGGGTATCTGAGTGAGCCTTTAGTTGATTCTGGTGATGAAGGAAACTTTGTTAATGACAATTTGCTTGAAGCACCGCTGTCACTGTCTTGCTCAGAAAAACTGAAGCCACTGTCATTTAAAGAGTTTTTAGTGTCTCTAGAAGAGCTCATACCAGAACACATATCCAGTGAGTCAAAGTAAAAAGCCCCATCTCCTAGAACATGTTTGGCTTGTGGAACAAACACATCAGTAGAATGGATACCCTCACTTTCTTCTGTGCTCACACTGACCTCGCTCAACCATGAGCTGACAGAAGAACCTCTGCTCTCTGCACCCTCAACAGCCCCTTCCTGGAGAGGCGTGGCTACTGCTGTGTTTGCTTCAGACCTAGTGTAAGCATCAAACTCATCGTTGATGCTGCTGATGATGCTCACTGGTCTGGAGCCCGATGCCAGAGCTTGAAGGGAACAGTCACTGTTAAAGCTGATAATGCTTGTGGGGCGGCCCTTGTCTAGAATACTGCCTATAGAAAGTTCCTCCACCACAGTAAAGACTAGTTCATCTTCCCCGTTTAGCTCCACGGGCTGCTGCAGGGTTACAGTGGCTCTGAGGATGTCACGATCCAGACACCTGTCCCTCAGAGAGGAGCGGATCTGACAGACCTCCACAGGTGCATGGACAAAGGGGGAAGGTGCACATAGATCTCGTCTCTTCACGGCCTGATGGCTCATTCCCACTGGAGGCATTCTCGTGCCGGACCGTTCCTCAGTTTCAGTAGGAGGCGGCGCTGGCTTTGGCAAGGCGCTCTTGTTAAAAAAGATTTTCTCTCTCACTACAGGCTCTGCAGCAGGTGCTGGCACTATGTTTGTGCTTACTCTACTCTCTGTACTCACACACTTTTCACCATCTGCACTGGTTCTGTTTACATTAGGAACATTCTCTTTTCTGTCGCTCATGTCTATTTTAGATTTAACAATAGGAATACTGGACAAAGGTGTAGCAATAGCTTTGGCGATTGTTTAGGTGAAACTACATCTTGGGTATTAGAGACATTTACAGGTACTTGAGTCTTTGGTGAAAGCGAGCCTTGGCTTTCTTTTGATTTGTCTGTTTTGGGGCTTGCCGGTGTCCTCTTGCCTTCACCCACAAAGGCATTAGGCTCCTCACTGCCATCTATACAATCCAGTCTCTCCTGCAGCTCCGCAAAAGTGTTGCATTTGAAGAAGTGATCCCTGTCCATCGGGCCGTCTTTCCCAGACCGCTTTCTGTTTAAGGAGGGGATGATAGGAACAAAGGCAGGAGGGCCTTCATTGTCACTGAGCTCTCTGTCGGAGATGGCTGTTCCACCTGGGCCCACATAGATGACTGTGTCACATGACTGTTCACTGCTGGAGGAGTACTCAGGGTCGCTCATCAGACAAGGAAGGTCTGGATCCAGAGCCACTGTCCGTGGGTGGAAGGGCCTGAGATGTGGTGGTTTGCGGATCCTCCCCTCTTCACAGGAGCTTTCTCCTCCAGATGAACTAGATGCATACTGCAAAGACAAAAACCAGCGTAAATGAACTGATCTTAATGAGCACACAATATCAATACTCAACCTCATATGAAATTATTCACTGTAGAAATATTGAGTCTCTTTCAATTTCCATTCAATATGTAACTAAAGGTGAAAAGTGCACATCGATATTCCCTGTAATGTAAATGCCTAGATATTCAACCAATACCAAATAAATACATGCTGTCATTGCCTCTAATTACAGCTGCATATATTTTCCTAATCCATGTGAATGCATTACACACCTCCTTGGGCTGTGCTATTGATTACATGATGATGTGTCAAGGAGCTGGAAAAACCCTGAATTACTGCACTGCTAATCTTTAATTTGCAGACGCATTCGTTTAGCAGAGGAGGAAAAAACAAGACATCATGGAAAGACACCGCTCATGTTAAAATATATCAATGATGTATATGCACATTAAGGATGTTCATTACTCCTATAACTACACTCCATGTAAAGCTTATCGTGAGAGAAAGAGGTGGGGACATTTTGTTGCTACAATTAACATGATTGCAGCAGCATTTAGCCGAAGCGTCTAAATGATTCTCTAGTTTAAACAAGAGATACAAACATTGCATATCTTTGCATGCATTAGTGTGAGTCATTTCTCAGTGTACCTTGGATTTCTTCTTCCTCATGCGGTGGATGCGAGACGCCAGCTGGATGGTGTTGAGTGACTCGGCGTAGTTGTTGGGCGAATCAGAGATGTGGGCAATCATGGTGGTTCTGCAGTTTATGTTGCCCAGGGACTCTGTCAGCAGCATGGTGAGCTTGCTATCCCTAAATATAGATGAAGACAGGGTGTAGAAGCAGTAGTGGCAGCACAATTAATTGCATATACTATATACTGTATGTGTGGGTGCATGCATATGTACACAAATATACTGTGTTGTTTACATTTACTGAACTAAAGATAACAAAATAAAGTGTTAACAAAATAATCGCAAAGTTTGTGGTCGCAATTATTGAATGTTTGAAGAAAGAATCTTTTGTCTTGTTTTTGGGCAGATGCATTCTTTTTTGGTGCTAAGCGTACTGGGTGCAGCTCTGACTGCCACCCCCCCAACCCAGAAATGGATTAAGGGGAAGAAAATGGATGGATGGATGCATTCTTTTTCTCATCAATTTGTAGAAGATCAAATTTGTTTGGCGTTTGCAGTAAAACCACACTAGAACACATTTGCAGGAGACAGAGCACACCAGAGCTCTTGCCACGGCACCATGTTGGAGGCTGAAACTGTCAAACTGTGCTGCACAACTCACTTAAGTAAGTAATGTGACTTTGTACTTCTTAAACATTAAGAAAATATCAAAAAACACAATCATGGTCAAAAATATTACAATTTGATATTTTTTTCTGAAATTGGGCAGCCCTACACTAAAGTTATTCATTACATTTGTGGATACGTAATTCAGCAATAAGCTGCAAGCACCGGCTTTTAAATGCAATAAAAATTTACGGTATAACTGTGATTTTCTGTAACTTCTGCTTGATGCTACTTTGAATTCTACCTTATGCAACATCAGTGAAAGTCATGTGAGCTCAACAAAACTAACAATCCAATTAGCCACGGCGTAAACAGGTTGGCTGATGACACATGTGGCGGCTTGCTTGAAACAGGATTTTATAACCGTGGACTTTGCGTGTTTGGTTTTTGTTTTGCTTTTACCTATAAGGAATGTGCTTCGCTCCGTTCGCCAAAGCCATGATGACGTTGCCCAGCGCGTTGAGCGAGAGACACAGGCCCCCGCCGCTATCTCTGCTTTTGCTCAGCACCTTCTCGCAGCTGCCCAGGTCGATGAGATGCAGCCTGCTCCGTCCGCCCGACACTGAGCCAACAAAAGAGAAAACATAAGTAACTAAGCACTCCCTTTACAGTCACACGCTGGTCCCATGGCAGCCGTGGCATCTTCGCTACAGCTCAAAACTAGGCGGGTGACTGTCAGAGCTGGCCAATTTACTTTTTACGAGCAAATTCCCACACTCAAAAAAAAAATATTTCTCATGTTTACAAGAAAGGCTGTTGCTGTCGTTGGGTTTTATATAGTTGTGGATGAAGGAAGACAAAACTCAACTAAAAGTAAGAAGATTGTGGGACTTTCCAGTGTAATTTCATGTAATGCTATGACATGTTGAAGGGCCGGCATGATCTGATGTTTAATCCAACAAATAATCTTCAAAAAGTTAAAGCTGGAATACTTAACTTTTATGTTTGTTTCATAAATACTGTGTTATTCAGACCATCGGTATGCATGCCTGCTTTTATCCTATTATAAAACAGGATCTTTTAAATGTTGGCTGGGGTGAGGTCCTGCTCTTCTCTTTTTCAATACATGCAAATGAAAACTAGTGATATATGTTTTAAAGAGCAAGTTACTAGTTAAATGGATGTTATTACTTAGCGATTTTTTTGTGATTTCAAAGTTAGGTACAATAGCTTTAATATCTTCAGCTAGTAGTTACCTGAAAACCAAACATTAAAAACCTCACTGATAATTAGCTGGAATGCATTCTTTAAATAATTATCGTAATAATTATCGTTGTAATTATTCATTCAACCTTCTACGACAATGCATGACCCACTGTGGGTTCGTCATATCGGCTTCTTTCAAGTCATACTTATAAGCTACAAGAAACCTTTCCATTGCATTGCTGAAATCATAAGTGTGGTTGTGTTTTCTTGCGTGACCTACCACACCTAACCTGGCAGCATATTGCTACCTGACGAATGTTGCTTCGCTCGCACAACAACTTCTGAGAGATTTAATAGGAGATCTACATTAGTCAGTAGAAATATCTCTGGGTAGGTTGTGGTAGCTCAAGCCATAAATCACCACAACACTATTTGATTTGCACAATGAAGGGAAAGTTGCTTGTAATTAGTTAGGAGGGACGATTGAACCGATAGGAAGAACCCACATGTCAGCAGTCTGAAGTTAAGTATAATTATAATCGTTATGGTTCGATACGGATGGAAAGAATGCATTCCACGATTTAGCATGATTTTTAATGGGTTTGCTGTAACTTCAGAGCAATGCGTAAAGCTAGGGACCTAACTTGGAATCACAAAAAAAAGGCTAAGGTAATATCAGCCATTTAACTAGGAACTTGCTCGTTAAAAATAACACTAGGTTTTCAGTGCATTAATGAAAAAGAAATCAACCTCATCCCACCAACATGAAAAGAGCCTGTTTTCTAATAGAGAAAACTGCTGCAGACCTGCGTTTATACATATTTATGATACTAACATAAAAAGTTAAGTATTTCCAGCTTTTACTGGTGGAAGAGTATTTGGGGATTAAACATCAGACATCAGGCCCCTTTCAATCATTCATAGCTGGACATGAAATTACACGGAAAGTCCCACAAACTTTCTGGGTATTTGATTTTTGTCTTCCGTCTTCCACATCTATATTAACCCCTCGACAATCGCCTTGTCTTGTAACATGAGTTATATTTTTTTTTGTTGTTGTCAATTTCGCTAAAAAGAATATTGCCCTCTGACTGCCCCCCTGGTTGACTGTACGAGCCTCTGCGAGTCCTGGAACCTGCGGTACTGTAATAGTGCCGATTTCTTAGTTTTCTCGGTTTTGGATCATGTCGCACGAGCACTGCATCTCATCACCGGCAGCGCTGAAGGCTACTAAACAGAGATAGCCGGGGGCCTGTGTCTCTCGCTCAACGCGCGGCAACGCAACATGGCGTTGGCGAACGACTAGCTCTTCATTATAGTATATGTAAAACAAAAACAAATAACAAACTCCAATGCCACGGTTTATAAAAGACTGTTTCAACAACCCCACAGTGTCATCATGCCACCTGTTTACGCCGGGCTTTGTGGATAGTTTGGTGTTGACTCTCATGACTTTCACTGATTGCATATGGGTAAATTCAATTGACAGCTACAGAAGGTACTTGAAATCACAGGGGTTAAACGTATTTATTTTATGGCTTTTACGTAAAGCCTGCTTGCAGCTGATTGGCGTGAATGGACATCCCACAATTGGAATTTGAACTTTAGGTAGATGCCCAATGCATAAAAAAAGTTCAAATTTATTAGTTTGGAACATGGATTGTGTTGTGGAGATTTTCTTAATTTATAAAATACTAATCTCATACTTACGGAAATGTAGGTCACCACTTTGGACAGGTCACCTCCTACATGGTGCCTTGTGCAAATCCTCGTGAGCCGTCGCCGGCAAAATGTGGTCTATGTTTGTGACGCAAACCCAACTAATTTGAGCTTCTAACATTGAAGAAAAAGAATTCCCAATCATCCAGCCTTTTTCTTCACCTTAATCATACATTGCGGGTGGGTGGCAGTCCAGAGCTGCACCCAGCCATTAGCTCAAAAAGTATCATCTGCCCAAAACAAGACAAAAGATCTTCGTCAAACATCATAATTTGCACACAAACGTTGCGAGAGTTTGTGTAACACTTTAGTTTGGGTATTAGCTTTTAGTGCATAATTGGGGGGTAAACAACACTTTAATAGTATTTTTGTGAACATAGCAGCACCCACACATACTGTATATAGTATATGCTCATTAATGTGCTGCCGCTATCGGCTTCTACCCCGCTCACGGTTTTAGGTTTGCTACGCCTCCTGCGCATGACAAGACCGCAACAGTAACTGCAAACCCCCTATTCCCACATACCGATTCGCCCACAAATATAGCCAGTATCGCTTCACCTGCCTCCGCTCGCAGCCACCCTTAGTTAAAAAATCCAAGGTACACTGATAAATGACTCACACTAATGCATCAATGATAGCATGTTTGTCTCGGGTGATAGACTAGTAATCATTTATACCTGCCTAAATTCCTCAACATGTTAATTTGAGCTGCACAAAAGGGAACCACCTCGGTCTCTCACGATAACTTATCCGGATGTATGTTATAGATAATGAACATCCGTAATGGCATAACATCTGGATATAGTTAACATCAGCGTTCTTTCCAATGGCTGTTGTTTGCCTCCTCTCTAGAACAATCGTCGGGCAATGGATAGATTGCATGGCAGAATACAGGGTTTTTCCTCTCCTATCTACATCAGCATTTTATCAATACACAGCCAAAGGTGTATTTCTTCACATGAGTAGAAATATAGAACTGTAATTTACAAATGAACTACAGTATTAATGGGTATGGTTGAATAGCTAGGCAGTACAGACAGGATTATCGAGTGCACGGTTCATCCGGGATTGACATATCGGATAAATTAATATTAGCAAGTGTTCGTCATGAATATATGCAGTTGTGTTATGATATTGGGGTGCGCAGGAAATCAGTGCTGTTACGCTGGTTTTGGGGATGGGCTTAGCATCTAGGCTTCTGGAATTATGCTCCGTAAAAGGTGGATCCCAATACCACCTCTTCTCAGGCACGGACCCCACCCCCCAGCTACTCGTAGAATGCAGCTAGCAGCGACCCGCTCCTCCCTCCTGCACCAACCTCACACACTTGTCTGCGCCAGTACAGTGATACTCCGCAAATTTTGGCACACACACCTCCCCATGCAGAGCCCTCAGCGGATCGGACAAAGGGGAGAGCGTCGGCATTCTCTCGACAGTTGAATCAGGGACAATGAAGTCCTCCTGCCTTGGGGGGCATATCATAACAACAAATCACTGTATCATATATAGATAGGGATTGGACCCACTGTAAGGTGAAAGTCTGCATTGGCTACACTGTGCGAGCGATGGTTATATGATAGTAATGATTGGTTACTTATACGGGGGGGGATGGAATTAATACGGGGATAGAAAAAATATAAACTATGATTATTTTGCAATGAGAGATGATAATATGTCTATTTTAATTTATGTATAGATGTAAATTGTTGTTATAATTTAAAATCCCAATTAGCGATTGGATTAAAAGGGAATTTTGAAGTTTGGGTTAGAGTTTTGTTATGTGATATGATTTGGTTTGGGAAGTTGGTTTATGTTAATGGGATTGTGTATGGGGGATTATGTTGTTTGTTAAATTTAATTAGGACTATAAGAGATATAAGGTGTTGTTTTGATGGGGTGAGTATTTAGGATGGAATAATAATAAAAAAGATTAAGATTAGGTGGTTCGAAAAATGTTGAAGAATGTGTTCATGAAATTTTTTATTGATTGTATAAGGAAAAAGGAATGATAAGGTGAGATTGAAAGAAGAGAGGGTTATTCGGTGATGAATGAATATTAATAGGTTAAAATATAATAAAGTATTTAGTTTGGTTAGTGAGGGTAGGGGGTTTAGTGAGTGTATGTGAGTTATTAACCAATATTAAGTAAAGGGTTATGTAGGGAAAGATAAGAGATGAAAAATGTAATGTATGATGATATATATATGGGGTTAGGTAAATTGAGTTAATTATATATTAATAAAAGAGAATGTTAGGTGATTTATTGGAGGAGGATAGATGGGTATGATGGTATAGTTGTTTGTGATGAATGGATATGGGGGGGAATATTAAATTTATGAGTGTGAGGGGGTAGGGTAGATAGTGGGGGGAGGTGTAAGGAGTTTAGTATTTTTGAGAGGTTTAATGAGGATGGGGAGTGATTGTATGGTATAGGGACGATTATTTGGGATGGTTATTGGAAGAATAATTTATTAGTTTAGATAGATTGTAAAAGATTTTTGTTGTTTAATTGATGGTGAGATGAAATAGGAATATAAATAATAGGATGAATAAGGAAAATTTATTTTAAGAAAGATGATGAGATTTGATGGTTGATGATGGTGTTTTATAGAGTTATTGTGTAGTTTAATTTTATGAAGATTAAGTTAAGTAAAAATTATTATAATGATTGGGGATTTTAAATAAATAGATGAAATAGTCTGAATGAAATTGATTATGGGGAAGAAAATAAATTTGAGAGAGTATATGATATTGGGTGGGTGTGAGGAATAGTTTTGAAAAAATAAATAAGATAGAATTTTATATAAGATGAGTTAGGTGAATAATGAATAGTTATATTTAGATTTTGTGTATGATTAATATAAAGGTAGAGAAGAAATGTTGTATATTAGAAGTATTTTGATTGATTATAAAATTAAAGATATGAAAAGAATAATAAGAATGGTTTTGAATGGGTTAATATTGATTTAGGAGGAAAATTTGAAGGTAGATGTTTATTGGATTAATTTATATGAGGGTTGAGGTAGTTGTAAGAGGTTTAGAATTGATAAGGTAGATTAATTGGGTAGAATGATGTTTAGTTATATGGGGTTTTGGATTATAAGTGATAATGTGAAAAGGTTTGGTAGAGAATGGGTAGAGTTTATTATAGATGTTTTTATAATGAGGAAGATAGTTGATTGTTTAGTGATTTTAGGTGAATTTGGATGATAGTAAATGAGTAAGAAATGAAAATTGTTTGAGGTTGGTGTAATTGTTTATGATATTAAATTTTAAGGTAGTTAGGTGTATTGTATTGATAGGAAGGAGTAATAATAGATTTTGTAGTGTGAGATAATTTGAGGTGAGGAGAATGAGTTTTAAAATTAAATTGAGGAATAATTATTTTTATTATGAGAAAGAAATCGGAGATATTGTAATGATTTTAATAAGGGATAATTATGGATTTTAGAGGAGTTTTGAGTGTGATAGGATAGTTATATTTTGATATATTTGGATTTGAAATAGTTTGTTTGGTTTTGTTATTATTAGAAAGAAATGAGACGATAAATTATGTTTTGTATGAAAATGCGTGGAATATGAGAGTATATGTATTATGACGTATTAATAGGTGTAGAATTATGAATGAATAGAAAAAGAAAAAAAGGAGTAAATATATATATGGAGTTTTATGTGATTAGATAGTATGATAAGAGAGATTATGGTATACTGTGGTTTATTTGTGGAGAGATGAATATTAATATGTGAATTTTTTTTTATTAGGGTAGTATTTGGGGTTTTGTAGGGATGTTTTTAGGGTTTTTGTTGGGGATTGTGTTTGTAGGGTGTGGGATAGAGGGGTGGGTTTGGGTGGAATGAGGGGATGATATATTGTAGGGATTGATATTGTGTGTATGGTGAATTGTGTGTATGTGTGTTTTTTTTGTTGTGTATTTTTTGTTAAGTTGAATATGTGAGTTATTGTTGGTTATGTAGGGGGAGTAATAGGGAAGGGGGGAAGGGGGGATGGATGTTTTGTTAAGGGGATTTTATGCATGGAGGTTGTGGGGGTTTGGTGGAGAGTTTTGTGATTGATGATATAAAGAATAGGTATAAGGGATGAGCGGTTATTCGAGGGAGGTGTTGTTATGCTTTGGATAGTTGTGGGATCATGTTGTTATGGGTGAAGGGGTGTGGAGGATTTGGTTAGGTAAATATAAAGGGAAATATATCTGAAAGTTTTGAATAATAATGGGGTGGGAAAATTGGAGAGAGGTTTTAAAGGGGTGTTTTAGTAGTGTGGTGTGGTTAGAGGATTGTGGAATGGTTTATGGGTGGGTGAAGGATATTTAGGGGGTATATAAATGAGGGAAGTTTAGGGGTATTATGGATTGAGGTTGGGTAACGTTTTGAAAAAGAGAGTTAAGATGATGTGGGGAATGGAGTATGGTGAGATGTAGAGGTTTAATATGGGGTAGGGTTGGAGAATAGGGGGGAGGATGGTAGGGTTTTTATGATTGTTTGGAGGAGGGTAAGGATAGGTGAGGATGATGATGAAGATAGGGGTTTTAGGAGGTAATTTGGAGATTATGAGGTAGGGGGGTATTTAGGGAAGTTGGAGATTTGAGGTGGGATTGGTAGAAGAATGTGGTAGGGGGGATGTGTAGTTGTATGGTTTATATATAGGTAGGTGTTGTGGAGATTTTTAGTAATATTTGTTGTTGGAATGTTGATGAGGGGTTTTTTGGTTTGGGGGTTTGGGGGTGGATGATTAGTTGGTTTGTGGGGGAGGAGGGAGGGGGATGATATGGAGTAATTGTATAATGGAATGGGTGTTGTTAGATTGGGGGATTGGATTTGGGGTTATTATGGGAGGGGGTATGGGTGAGTTTTTTTGGGGGGTGGTAGGGGGGGAATGACTGTGGTGGGGGTTGTGATTGAGGTTTAGTAGTGTTTGTTTTGTTTATTGTGTTTAGGTTGGTTGATGTATTATTGTGTGGTTAAGGGTTTATAATTAATGGGGTGGTGGGGTGAAATATTGTGGTTTGGTGTGTAGGATTGATTGGGTGTTTAGTTGGTGGGGGGGGGGGGGTGGAGGGGGGGGAGGTAGTAGTTGAGGGGAGGGAGAGTGGATATGGTGGGTAAGTGGGGGGATTTTGTGAAGTGTAGGTGAAGGGATATGAAGTAGGGTTTAGTGGGAGGGATTAGGTGGATGAAAATGGTGGGGTGGTAAAGAGGGTATGATATAGAGGAAGAATAATGGAGAGTTAGAGAGGTGGAATTGGGGTGTATTTTGATTGAGTTTAGGTTGGTTGTTATTAGGGTGAGGGTGTGGGTGGCGATGGGGGGTTTGGTGGGTTTTTGTGGGTTTAAGGTTGTTGTAGGTAAAATAAGGTTGAGTATGGGAGATGGGATGTATGGGGGTGTAGGGATGTGTTTATGGTAATATTGGAGAGTAAGGGGGGGATGTGGATTGGAATGATATGTAGGGTTTGAATGTTAATTATAGAATGGAAGTGGGGGGGGGGGGATGGATGGTGGGTGTTTGGGACAGGGTGAGTTGGATGTACCTAAACGCCCTAACTGTGTGCTGTGTTATTGAGGGTTAGTGTTTTGTGGGCTTGGTATGTGTTGTGTGGTAGTGTATGGGGGTATTTTTGTGCACACTTGTTTTGTTTTGTTATAATGTAATTAGTGCATTAAAGCTGATAGTTGTGGGCGACGCACAGAAGGCGGGCGTGTGTCAAGAAGGGGGTGGGTAAAGCTGGGTTGCAGTGGGATGGTAGAGGTGGAATGGTTAGGTGGGGTGTGAGGGAGGATAGATTCGTATTAGGTGATGGTAATGATTGTAGACTGAGGGGGAGGGTATAGATTTGGAGGTAATGAGTGAGGAGTTATAGAGAGGGAGTGTGGGTTGGGAGGGTGAAGAATGGTAAGGGGGAGATGGATGAGGGGATTGAAGGATGGAGGTGGAGGTGTGGCGTGGAAGGAGGGGGAAATGAGGTGAGGGTAGTTTTAATGTGTTAGAATTTTATGCATATTATGAGGCATCGGTGAAGAGGGTGGGGTGGTGTATTGTGGGACCATGGGTGTGGGGGAAGATGGTGGAGGTTGAGGGTAATTAATTAGGGAAGCTATATGGATGGGGGGGGGGGGGGGGGGGATGATATAAAGGGGAATAGGTTTGGTAGGTAGGAGATTATAGGGTTTTGGAATTGATATGAAGGGGGGAAGGGTATAAGTGATTGCTAGATAATGAAGATGAGAGTGATGGAATTATATACGAGGTAGATTAGAAGGGGGGTATATTTAAGATGTGGATGTGATGATATTAGGAGGGGGAAATAGGAGGGGGTTTTGGATTTTGGGGGGTGGGTGGGAAAAGGGTTGGTTGTTTTGATGATGTGTGAGAGAGGGGTTAGGAATTTGGGGTGTTGTTTAAGAGGGATGTTTGTGATAGAGGATGGGGGACATGTTGTTAATATTGGGTGGGGGGGGTGGGTGTGGTAGTTTTATTAGGGAGATGGTAGGGGTAAGGTATTGCTGGAAGGGGGGTAGAGAGGGGGGGGGGGGATTTGGGTAGGGAGATAGAAAGAGTATATTGAGGACTGGGGTGGGTAATTTGAATGGGGGTACATTGTTGGGGGGGTATGGGGGTAATTGATGTAGATAAGGGTATATGTGGTGGGGGAGATGTTGTGAGAATTTAAATGTAAAGGGGAATTATTGGGGGTAGAGTTTGGTTGGAAGGGATGTGAGTTGAGATTTGGGTGGTGGGAAGGGGGGTTTTGTGGGGATTTGAAGAGGGACTTTGGTGTGTGATGGGAGAGCATTAGAGATTATTATTATTATTTGAATGTTTGAGGACTGTGATGTATGGGGTATGTGGTGGGGTTTTGACGGGGGGTTATTTGTTGTGGTTTTGTGTTGGTTGTAATTTGTGGGTAGGGTTATGTGTGTTATTGGAAGGGTTTTTGGAGGGGGGGGGGTTGGTGTGTAAGTTTAAGAGTAAAGAGGGTTTTGGGGTGTGATGTTGGGTTATTTGGTTATTTTGTGTGGGTTTTTAGTGGGGTTTTGGAATGGATGGATGGGGATGTGGTGTTTTGTATTAATGGGGGGTTTTTTTTTTTTTGTGGTTGTTTTTTGGTAGGGTTGATATATGGTGGTTTTTGGGGTGTGTGATTTATGATTAATTTATAATTTTGGGGGTGAGAGGATTTATTTGATAGGTGATGGGTGGACCTGATGGTGGAATGTATATGTAGCGATAGTAGTTTAGGGGGTGTGATGTGGAGGGTGGTTGGATGGGTTTTGATATTGATTGAGGATAGGGGGTATTTTGTTAGGGGGTGGGTATTTTTTTGGAAGATGATGGGTTGGTAGTAGGGGAGGGATGTATGGGGTGGGATGTTGAGGGGTGGATGGGGTTAGGGGTGTGAAGGGTTTAGGGATTAGGAAGAGGGAGGATAGGGTATGGGGTTGAGGAATAATGAATTAAAGGGGTTTGGATTATGAGAGAGGTGTTTAAAATTAATTTTTAATGGATAGGGTGTGTTGGTGGGGATATGGTAAGATGTAGGTGGATTAATGTTGTAATTGGGAGGTTTGATTAATTGTAGTTTGATTATTGATGGAGATGGAAAGAGGTGTGGGGGGAGGTTGTGGGAGGTGGTTTGGTAGGATTTATATAATTGGGGAGATGAAGAATTAGGTAAGAAGAGGAAGGTGGGATTAAGTAGGATTATTGATTAGGTTGTGTTTTTTTATGATAGATTAATATGGGGGATGTTGAATAGATAGTGAATGTGTATTATGATTTGATGAAGGGTGGGTAGGTTATGGGGAAAGGAGGTGGGGGATTTAATTGTTGTATGTGTTGTTTAGATGTTGGAGGTTGGGGTTTGTGTGGTTTGTGTGGTTTGAGGGGTATTTTGATTTGAGGTGAGATTGTTATGTGTGAGTGAGGTTAGAAGTGGGGGTAGGGGTGCGGGGGTGATGGGGGTTTCCTTGGTATAGGGGTACTATAATAAGGGATTGTGTTGTGATCTAGTGTATTGGACATTGATTGTTGTTATGTGGGGGTGGTTATAAGGCTATGTGTTCAGGATGGGGTAGGTAGGTCATGAGAGTACCTGCGTCTGGTTGTATTATTGGAATCTCAACCTTTTCTTTTAATTAGGGCAACGGCAGGGGGTGCAGGGAATAGGTCTGTAGGTGTGTATGGCATTTGCTACTGCACTATACTAATTATGCATTGTGGTCGATTGGGGTGCACGCTCGCTGAGGGATTTCATTGACTCGTAGCTTGAGGGCACGTGAGCTAGGGGGGAAGATGGATGGTCGCGAGTGGACATCCGTCGGAATGCGTATAGGGTGGTACATGCATGCATGCGCAATCGAGCTGGAGTAAGTGCTCCCTGACATTCTGTAGGGCAGTTAACGGCCATCGGAAGCGTCGGGATGGGGGTAGGAAGGTGAGGATAACGGGTGCTCAGCTGAATGCCCGCCTGTATTACTGGGTGATTGTCGGAGTAGGGAATTTCTGGCTCATAAGATGTTATGGAAGTGGCTATGGAGGGTGGGTATATTTAGCCAGCTACTGCTAGTGGACGGACCGTGAAGCATAAGGCAGCAGGAGTAGAGACTCGTGGGGTCCTATTCGTTGGTAATTTGCATATAGCGTTGTTGAGTTTTCTTGGAATGCGCAAGCTATATTTTATTCTTTACTGTTGTATTAGTTGGAAGGCGGTTTTTGTGTGGTTGGTAGATATAGAAAGGGAAAATAGGGATGAGGTTGAATGCTGATGCATGCAAGGGGGACTGATTTAGAAGAATTGTTGGGGATGGAGGATAAGGATGGAACGAGCTATTGACGGGGGGTCTGCGGGAAGGTGGGGTTGAGGAGTGGTTTTGTATGTTGGGAAAGGATATTTATTTATGGTCACATGCATGGGTGGTGTTCATATGGGTATTTTGTTTTGGTGAAGGCTTATTTAGGGTAGGTGCTTTTATGTGGGATACTGTAAAAGGAGAATCTGAGGGATTGGCGAGGGCTGGGGGTGTTTGGGTATGGTTTTTTTTGTTTGAGTTTATGTGGGTTGGTAAGGGTTTGTTAAAATTCGTGTCATTGGATGGGGGTGGTATAGGTGGGATGGGAAGAGATGGAAAGGGAGGGTTAAGGGGTGATGGTATAGCTATAGAATTCATGGGGGGTTAGGGGTGTTGCTGTGGGATTTCATGTGTATAAGTTGTGGGAATGATTTTAGAGGGTATGGAATGTTTTGGAGGGGAATTGACTTCGGAGTGTGTTGGGGGGAAATGTAGGGAGTTTGAGGGTGGATCTGCGATTAGTTGGGATGGGATATTAGGACTAGTATATTGAATGAAGAATGGGAGGGTTTTGATTAGGTTATATATTGGAGATATGGAAATATTAAGAATAAATGGGGATATGAGATTGATGGTGTTGATTGGGAATGTATGGTTTTGTAGGGAGGTGGAGGTGATGGGGTTGTGTATGTTGTTGGTTGTATGGTATAGGGAGGTTATTGGGGGTGATTTTGTGAAGGGAGTTTTTTTGGAAAGGGGTAAAAATGGAATAAGAGATAGGGAGAAGATAGAGAAGGAATAAGAGGTTAGGAATATGATGATTTGAGAGGTATAGGGTTGAGATTGGGAAGGATTAAAATAATATGGGGGGGATATGAATAAATAGGGGATTGGAAGGAATAAGGAGGAAAATGTGAGGGGGAGGATGGTGAGGGGTGTTGGAGAAGAAGAGGTTTAAGTGTTTTTGATGTATATGGGTGGTGGGTATGTGATTGGTAGATGGGAGGGTGAGAGATGTAGATATTGGGTTTGAGTGGAATTAGGGTAGTTATGAGAGGGGAGGAGGTGGGAGTGTGGGTGTTTGTATTGGAGAATAGTGTATGAAGGGTGGTGGATTTTGGGGGTGGGGTAGGGATATGATAGATATTATTTATTGATATTTTAGATTGGGGATGGAGATATAGATGGGATTAGATGAGTGGTGTGATGGGATGGGATGGGGTGGAGGGGTGATGGATGGTTGAGGATGGGAAGTGTGTAGGTAGTGTGATTGAGGTTGGGTGTTGGAGGGTGGATGTTTGTATGGGGGTTGGATTTTTTGGTAAAGTGTTTAGGTATGGAAGTTTATTTGATTTGGAAGGTATGTGGTGTTGAAGGGAATTAGCGGAGTTGGGGAGAGTATTGGGGGGGAGATATTTTGATTTGGAATGATTTTTTGGGGTGTAGATAATGGGGAGGGGAGGGGGGTAGTTAGGAGGGGAAATGGTTATAGAAAGAGATTAGATGGGATGGGATGTTGTAAGAAGGTAAAAGAGGAGAGATGAATGAGGGAAATGTAATAGACGAGAAGAAGAGGGGGTTTTGATTGAAAAAAAGGATGTTGAGAAAATAGATTATAAGAGGTAAGAATGAATAGATGGTTGAGAGTGAATAAGAGATAGGGGTAGGTGGGGTGAATATGATGAGTAGAGGGAAGAGGGAATATGTAAAATAGGATGGAAAGGAAGTGATAATTATGAGAGGGGAGGGAAGTAGGGGAAATAGTATGGATAGGGGGGAAATAAGAAGAAGGTAAGTGGTGATGAGAATGTAGAGGGAAATGTGGGGGAAAGAAGGAATAAGGGGGGGTAGGAGGGATATTATATTTAGGAGGAAGGGATGGGAGGGGGAGTAATAGTTTTAGTTTATGGGGTATTAGATGTAGGGGGTGGGGGTGTATGATTAGAGGAGTGGTGTAGTTGGTGAAAAATTAGGGGGGGGAGTGAGGGATAGGAGTAGAGGTTGTAGGAAGACTAGGGTTATGGATGGGATTGTTGAGAGTTGGTTGGAATTGAGGGGTGGAGGTAGGTAGGTAGGCTAATTAAGGATGTAGGAAAATAGGGGGAGAGATAGTGGGGAGGAGGGGAATGGTTTTGTAAATATAGGATATGAGAGATTGTGTAAGAGAATGTGGGGGGGGAATATAGGGAGAAAAAGGGAAGAGGAAGGGATTAGTGAGTTAGGGGGGGGATGGGTTGATTAGGGGTGTGGAGGAGTTTTTGAATTGAAATAGGGGATTTGAGGAATATTATAAGAGGAGAGGGGAAGGTTAGAGAAAGGAAAGAGAATGTATAGTCAGTTGCAATGGGGGTTTGCTAGCTCTTGGCCTTGTGGTCTATACTGGACTTTATCTAAATGAGGTGGTGGAGGGGATGTGACCTTACCCGGGTTTGGGGAGGGGGTTGCGTTGCTTCTGATAGTGAGCCATGCTGCTTTTACCTAGGAGGAGAACTTAAGGCTTGTGGTTGATGTAATAACATCTTGTGGAGCTTTGTGTTCAGTGGATGAGTGGATAACAGGCACCGTACCGAGAGTAGTAGCACCTCTTCTGAGCTGAGGCATGCGGCTTAGGGGGGATTATTTAGTGGCAGACTTCTCACAACCATCAACCACCCTCTGTGATGAGGTAGACCCAGAGATCTTGGGTGGTCGAGGTACACTGTTGCTATGGCTGGATGCTCTACTGCATGGGATGCCAGTGGGTGGGTTTCTGACAAACTTGCTGTGTTGTTGGAGGCAGTAGGTTCAAGCCGTTGCCAGGGATTTTCTTGTTTAGGTATCTTGTCTCAGAGTGTCTTACTAATGCTGCTACTATTTGAGATCGATGAGGTAGGTTTTGTCTTCCGGGGAAGAGTGGACTGGACAGTGGCTGGGCCCTGTGGAAGCTGGGATGAGCTAAGAGAGTGAGCTTTAGTAATTTTTGAGGGGTATCTGAGTGAGCCTTTAGTTGATTCTGGTGATGAAGGAAACTTTGTTAATGACAATTTGCTTGAAGCACCGCTGTCACTGTCTTGCTCAGAAAAACTGAAGCCACTGTCATTTAAAGAGTTTTTAGTGTCTCTAGAAGAGCTCATACCAGAACACATATCCAGTGAGTCAAAGTAAAAAGCCCCATCTCCTAGAACATGTTTGGCTAGTGGAAAACAAACACATCAGTAGAATGGATACCCTCACTTTCTTCTGTGCTCACACTGACCTCGCTCAACCATGAGCTGACAGAAGAACCTCTGCTCTCTGCACCCTCAACAGCCCCTTCCTGGAGAGGCGTGGCTACTGCTGTGTTTGCTTCAGACCTAGTGTAAGCATCAAACTCATCGTTGATGCTGCTGATGATGCTCACTGGTCTGGAGCCCGATGCCAGAGCTTGAAGGGAACAGTCACTGTTAAAGCTGATAATGCTTGTGGGGCGGCCCTTGTCTAGAATACTGCCTATAGAAAGTTCCTCCACCACAGTAAAGACTAGTTCATCTTCCCCGTTTAGCTCCACGGGCTGCTGCAGGGTTACAGTGGCTCTGAGGATGTCACGATCCAGACACCTGTCCCTCAGAGAGGAGCGGATCTGACAGACCTCCACAGGTGCATGGACAAAGGGGGAAGGTGCACATAGATCTCGTCTCTTCACGGCCTGATGGCTCATTCCCACTGGAGGCATTCTCGTGCCGGACCGTTCCTCAGTTTCAGTAGGAGGCGGCGCTGGCTTTGGCAAGGCGCTCTTGTTAAAAAAGATTTTCTCTCTCACTACAGGCTCTGCAGCAGGTGCTGGCACTATGTTTGTGCTTACTCTACTCTCTCTGTAGTCACACACTTTTCACCATCTGCACTGGTTCTGTTTACATTAGGAACATTCTCTTTTCTGTCGCTCATGTCTATTTTAGAGTTAACAATAGGAATACTGGACAAAGGTGTAGCAATAGCTTTTGGCGATTGTTTAGGTGAAACTACATCTTGGGTATTAGAGATATTTACAGGTACTTGAGTCTTTGGTGAAAGCGAGCCTTGGCTTTCTTTTGATTTGTCTGTTTGGGGCTTGCCGGTGTCCTCTTGCCTTCACCCACAAAGGCATTAGGCTCCTCACTGCCATCTATACATCCAGTCTCTCCTGCAGCTCCGCAAAAGTGTTGCATTGAAGAAGTGATCCCTGTCCATCGGGCCGTCTTTCCCAGACCGCTTTCTGTTTAAGGAGGGGATGATAGGAACAAAGGCAGGAGGGCCTTCATTGTCACTGAGCTCTCTGTCGGAGATGGCTGTTCCACCTGGGCCCACATAGATGACTGTGTCACATGACTGTTCACTGCTGGAGGCGTACTCAGGGTCGCTCATCAGACAAGGAAGGTCTGGATCCAGAGGCCACTGTCCGTCCTCCACCCCCCCCCCCCCCCTGTGGGGGAAGGGCCTGAGATGTGGTGGTTTGCGGATCCTCCCCTCTTCACAGGAGCTTTCTCCTCCAGATGAACTAGATGCATACTGCAAAGACAAAAACCAGCGTAAATGAACTGATCTTAATGAGCACACAATATCAATACTCAACCTCATATGAAATTATTCACTGTAGAAATATTGAGTCTCTTTCAATTTCCATTCAATATGTAACTAAAGGTGAAAAGTGCACATCGATATTCCCTGTAATGTAAATGCCTAGATATTCAACCAATACCAAATAAATACATGCTGTCATTGCCTCTAATTACAGCTGCATATATTTTCCTAATCCATGTGAATGCATTACACACCTCCTTGGGCTGTGCTATTGATTACATGATGATGTGTCAAGGAGCTGGAAAAACCCTGAATTACTGCACTGCTAATCTTTAATTTGCAGACGCATTCGTTTAGCAGAGGAGGAAAAAACAAGACATCATGGAAAGACACCGCTGATGTTAAAATATATCAATGATGTATATGCACATTAAGGATGTTCATTACTCCTATAACTACACTCCATGTAAAGCTTATCGTGAGAGAAAGAGGTGGGGACATTTTGTTGCTACAATTAACATGATTGCAGCAGCATTTAGCCGAAGCGTCTAAATGATTCTCTAGTTTAAACAAGAGATACAAACATTGCATATCTTTGCATGCATTAGTGTGAGTCATTTCTCAGTGTACCTTGGATTTCTTCTTCCTCATGCGGTGGATGCGAGACGCCAGCTGGATGGTGTTGAGTGACTCGGCGTAGTTGTTGGGCGAATCAGAGATGTGGGCAATCATGGTGGTTCTGCAGTTTATGTTGCCCAGGGACTCTGTCAGCAGCATGGTGAGCTTGCTATCCCTAAATACAGATGAAGACAGGGTGTAGAAGCAGTAGTGGCAGCACAATTAATTGCATATACTATATACTGTATGTGTGGGTGCATGCATATGTACACAAAAATACTGTGTTGTTTACATTTACTGAACTAAAGATAACAAAATAAAGTGTTAACAAAATAATCGCAAAGTTTGTGGTCGCAATTATTGAATGTTTGAAGAAAGAATCTTTTGTCTTGTTTTTGGGCAGATGCATACTTTTTTGGTGCTAAGCGTACTGGGTGCAGCTCTGACTGCCACCCCCCCAACCCAGAAATGGATTAAGGGGAAGAAAATGGATGGATGGATGCATTCTTTTTCTCATCAATTTGTAGAAGATCAAATTTGTTTGGCGTTTGCAGTAAAACCACACTAGAACACATGTGCAGGAGACAGAGCACACCAGAGCTCTTGCCACGGCACCATGTTGGAGGCTGAAACAGTCAAACTGTGCTGCACATCTCACTTAAGTAAGTAATGTGACTTTGTACTTCTTAAACATTAAGAAAATATCAAAAAACACAATCATGGTCAAAAATATTACAATTTGATATTTTTTTCAGAAATTGGGCAGCCCTACACTAAAGTTATTCATTACATTTGTGGATACGTAATTCAGCAATAAGCTGCAAGCACCGGCTTTAAATGCAATAAAAATTTACGGTATAACTGTGATTTTCTGTAACTTCTGCTTGATGCTACTTTGAATTCTACCTTATGCAACATCAGTGAAAGTCATGTGAGCTCAACAAAACTAACAATCCAATTAGCCACGGCGTAAACAGGTTGGCTGATGACACATGTGGCGGCTTGCTTGAAACAGGATTTTATAACCGTGGACTTTGCGTGTTTGGTTTTTGTTTTGCTTTTACCTATAAGGAATGTGCTTCGCTCCGTTCGCCAAAGCCATGATGACGTTGCCCAGCGCGTTGAGCGAGAGACACAGGCCCCCGCCGCTATCTCTGCTTTTGCTCAGCACCTTCTCGCAGCTGCCCAGGTCGATGAGATGCAGCCTGCTCCGTCCGCCCGACACTGAGCCAACAAAAGAGAAAACATAAGTAACTAAGGCACTCCCTTTACAGTCACACGCTGGTCCCATGGCAGCCGTGGCATCGCTACAGTTCAAAACTAGGCGGGTGACTGTCAGAGCTGGCCAATTTACTTTTTACGAGCAAATTCCCACACTCAAAAAAAAAAATATTTCTCATGTTTACAAGAAAGGCTGTGCTGTCGTTGGGTTTTTATAGTTGTGGGTGACGGAAGACAAAACTCAACTAAAAGTAAGATTGTGGGACTTTCCAGTGTAATTTCATGTAATGCTATGACATGTTGAATGGGCCGGCATGATCTGATGTTTAATCCAACAAATAATCTTCAAAAAGTTAAAGCTGGAATACTTAACTTTTATGTTTGTTTCATAAATACTGTTTATTCAGACCACGGTATGCATGCTGCTTTTATCCTATTAGAAAACAGGATCTTTTAAATGTTGGCTGGGTGAGGTCTGCTCTTCTCTTTTTCAATACATGCAAATGAAAACTAGTGATATTTGTTTAAAGAGCAAGTTACTAGTTAAATGGATGTTATTACTTAGCTATTTTTTTGTGATTTCAAAGTTAGGTACAATAGCTTTAAGACTTCAGCTATGTAGTTACCTGAAAACCAACATTAAAAACCTCACTGATAATTAGCTGGAATGCATTATTTAAATAATTATCGTAATAATTATCGTTGTAATTATTCATTCAACCTTCTACGACAATGCATAACCCACTGTGGGTTCGTCATATCGGCTTCTTTCAAGTCATACTTATAATCTACAAGAAACCTTTCCATTGCATTGCTGAAATCAAAAGTGTTGTGTGTGATTTATGGCTTGAGCTACCACACCTAACCTGCAGCATATTTCTACCTGACTAATGTAGCAACCATGATGACTTGTGAAGAGCTGATGGTTCACTCTGGAGGATTCTTGAAGTGAAATAGAAGAGAAGAATGCATATCTATTTTGGGATCTGTTGAATCATCTAATGATATATGATAACAGGAAAGAACAAGGTATTCCTTTTGACTTTGTGTAGGTTTTATAAGCACTGACTTCAGTAGAGAAGAATGCAGAGGGACACTGCTTATAAAGTCAACCGGCTTTCTCTACAACAGCTTGTCAATATTAAAGCACGACTTCTAAAACTGTATGTGTACTGTACAAGCTTGAAAATATTTATGTTATCAATGTGTAAACTGATTTTCTGTAGTTTAGACTTTTACTACTCTGATTCTCTTGTATGTTAAAACTGTGGTACGTAAATATCTAAAATCAGAAGTTATACATTTTGTTCGTCCCAACATTTTGTCAACTCATTAGATCACAACATTTTGTCTTTATCTCTTATTTTATTGTGAGGAAGAGCAAAAATGTGAGTCACTATTTGACACTTTGGGCTGAGAGTTGATTGGCTGAGTGAGGGTGGTCCTCTCTTTTTCCCTTTTCTGAAATATCTGATCCAAAGATGAGACGGAGACACACATGTTGAATCTAGCGTTAGAACCAAACTGTTTTGAGAGCAAGGAACTAGTCAGATTCCTTTTAATTAGAACGTTTTGAGGTTGAAAGTGAAGTACCGCAGCGCTCTGCAGCCCGCATTCAAATATCATTTTAAGGGTAATAGCCAGAAGAGATATTTTCATTGTATACTGCAAAAAATATGATAAAATATGAGGTAATAATGGCTTGAATCGAGTGAATTGTATCTTCAATTGAGCACATTCTCTTCTAAAACAAGATTTGCCAATGGGACAAAGCCATTTAGTCTTATTTCAAGAAATGCTGTTTGTCCAATTGGCAAATCTGGTTTTAAGGAAATCAAAATGTGCTCAATAAAGATACATTTAGCAAAAAGTGAGCAATTTTTGACTTATTTTTTTGCAGACTTAACTTTTTGCAGTGTATGTGTTGATTTGTGCAGTGCATGTGAACTTAAGTGTAAAAAGAGAATAAAAGGTAATATTGACCCTTACTTCCTCCTTTCCCGCTCTTCTCCATGCGGTACTGGTAAACGTGCAGGGTGAACAGCATGTGCGAGTTGCGGCGGTCGTCTTCGTCTGCGTCCGGACGTGTCGTGCTTCGCGCAGAAATAGCGGCGTCCAGGAAGAAGGCGGCTTTCTCTGGTGTGGGGGCTCGCAGCTCGCTCTGGTTCTGCAACTGTGTAGAGACAAGGAAGTGGTGGTCGCCGCTTAATCAAATATAGTCATTATTTTAAGAATGAAAAGCATTTGAGATGACTGATTTAACCTTTAATAAACCTGGGTTACTTTTAACCTTTTTTCATAAATGATACATAAAGTCTGTCCCAACACAAAGAGGTCTTGTTCTGAACAAATCAGACCACAACATGCGTCTTTACTTATGCAAAAAAAGAGCCCTGTGAGTCACTTTATGACAGTTTGGGCTGAGGCATATGATAACTAGTGCTGGATGAACACTGTTTTGAGAATTAGGAACTAGTTATATGGATTTCCTTACAGACTTCCATTTTTGTTGTTGATTTTACTGCATATCTGTACTGGAGGAAAACCAATTTTGCTCATCTAAATGTAAATAACAAAGAATACATGCTGTTTTATGCATGTTGTTTTATTCTTCCAGTAATCAGTAAATCCAAGATGTAAATATAAAAAAACAAAGCCATCACACTGCAGTGTTGTGTATTCTTATCAATACAGGCATACAGACAGACAGAGGGACAGACCAACACCACCTACACATATGATTAACGATAGCCGAGCGGCGCACACACGTAGGCCTTTGAGAATGAGATGTGAAAGGCTATAAGGCTGGAGGGGCATGCGCGGAGCCAGGGTTAGCCGGCTAATTGGACAGCGCAGCACATTTCTCGGCCATTAGATTGGGTCTCGGGGGCAATTACAAGAGCAGATATGCACACACAGGGAGAGGATTAGGAGGGGTAATGGCAGGGCACGCGGTCGGGCCACTTCTCTCATTGCGAATGTCACTCTTGATAGTTTTGATAGACAGGAAGAGGGGGGGGATATACAAGGCCAAATAGTAGGCGTCGGTGAATTGTGAATTGTGTTGTTTGGGCTCTTCATAGCAGGCTTTGAAGTTCTTTTTATTGTTGATGTGGTAAAAAAAACAACATCTAACGGGAACACCTGTGAGCGCTTCCTATAGCTACTTTTGTCCCACCATCCCCCCATATTTCTCTCTCTTTCTGGAGGAGTGGGATAATAGATGCTGATGGATGCTGACATGGGAGTCAATACGCAGGAAGGAAGAAAGCCATCGATAGTGAAGGCGGCTGAAGCTGGGATTTAGATGCGCAGGTATAAGAAGAGATGAGGGGAACTCCCGTGATATTTGAACAAAGGAAAGAGTAGGATCAGAAGCAAAGATGGATCACAGGAGTGGAAAAGCAAAAAACACAAAGGTAATACCTGGGTGCCACATATGGGATCTTCTTTCAGGTGGATGCCCGGGGACTGGCCATCTTGAAGGCTGCCTGTGGACACCTCAGACAGCAGGTCCTTCAGCTCCTCATCTTTGCCAAAAATCTCCACGGCCGATACCCTGACGGAGAAGCGTGTGCCGGTCTTCTCCTTGCGCTCGTTGATGAGTTTGAAGAGCCAGGAGATGGCGCAGGGGACGATGCCGAGGCTCTGAGTGGAGCTGTCCTTGCCGATCATGGTGTATGTTTTGCCTGCAGAGATAAAAGTATAAAGAAGTCTGAATTTGAAGCTGAATATGAATAAAAGAAACGTGATGTTTTGCTGTCATTTTCAAGTTTAGGGGGGCTGGGAGAAATAGTGGGAGACAACAGCTCGCATTTATATGATATCCCAAACGTAAACAACATTTTTACATTGTGGTGGAGGGAAGTTGAAGTGGTAAAAGTCTAAATTTCTCGTCTTAGTTTAGAGCTCATTTCTCTGTACCTCCTGGGCAAATCCGCATGAAAGTAAAACTGTCACAAAGGTCCACACCTTCTTTGTCAGCACATATCAACTATGGTCTAATCATTATCTCATTAAAGGTGTCTAGAAATAGTGAAACAATTAATAATAAAACATATGCAAGCTGTTGGCCAGTAGAAACAACTTTCAGACATCAGCAAATTTCTGTATTCAACCACCACCAACAAATATGGATCTGAGATTTTTTTTATACATTTTTTTTTTAAATATTTTTTTCAAAATTGGCTTCTATCACAAAGAGTTGTACTGGCACCTTCCCTCCAACTGAAATTGAAATCTACTACAAAAACGCAACCAATTATGTAATTTTACAATGGATATTATTGTCATTGGAAATTGAATTGAAAAGGGGGCGTGGCCAAAGCTCTTATGTTACTGTCATATAAGCCCATTCCTCCATTCTTATATTACAAAATCGCTCGACTAACACTACTTTTCGTCAATATTCTATGCTTCATATTTGAAAATACTTTGAAAATGAAGTCGACCATTGAAGAAAAACAGCTTTGTGTTCCACGATGACCCCAGTCAATACGACGAAAGAATCTTGGCTATTAAAACCACTCACTGCCCTGACTGAGGAAGATAAAAGAGGGTCTTATGGGTTCAATGCTATATCAAATCCTTTCTAAATTAAAAAATGAACTTGAAACCAAGGAGCCATTCCCGACTGCTATGTTTCAATGGAGGATCGCAGCCAGCATTAGCTTAAACTAGCCCTTCAGTCCAAAACGCACTAGTCAGGCCAATTACTAGGATTTTAATTACAGTCTGGACCCTGAAGCCTGGATGCAGCACTTCTCGCCTCTCCCCTAACCTAACTCTCCTGTCTCCAATTCCGCTCCTCACACCAGTGCTCTGCTAAGCCATTTGTGAACATCAAGTGCAGCTAACAATGAGAGTGTGAGTTTTCAGCGGCTAACAAAGGCCCAGGTCTAATCTCTTTCCAGTAGAAGGGCTTACCGAGCTTGACTTGGCCGAAGGAGAAGATGCATCCGTCCGCGCCGTTCACCACTGACTGGATGACCTCTGCGACTGTCCCTGAGCACACCTCAGCCTGCGGGGGAGACAAACACTTCTGTTACTTCAAAGCTGCAAAGAGGGGTAAGGCAAAGGGGTGAGGCAGAGGCCAGAGCATTTCATAGAAGGAACGTTCTTCTAAGTCTTTAAAGTCTTTCATCAGCTGTATGCAGTTCTTATATGACACCTAAATGACTATTCTTTATTATGCAAAAGCTAAAGTTGGAGATTGTATTTTATTTTATTCAATAGAGTTAAATTGTTAATGTATCTTATGCTGTGTGCTCCTAATTCCTACTGTACTGTCACCGGTGATGCAACACCTTTCCCCACTGTGCGACAGATTAATCTTAATCTTTTTCATTAATACAGTATTTAAACCTGGGGTACTTAACTTTCAAACCAGGACAATGGAACGATGTAAATATTGTAAATCCATGTGACTAGTTTTTGCTCTCATAGTTTTAAAATGCACATATTTTTAGCCTCTGTCACATCTTTTTCGAACAGAAAAGGGAAAAACGAGAGGGCTGCACTCCCTCTGCCAATCAGCTCTTAGCCCATACTGTCTAGTAAGATAAAGACTCAGGTTGTGGTCTGATTTGTTCACAGCATTGTACTTTTACAAGTCTAGACCAGACATTTTATTATGACCAAAAAATGTATCATGAACATTTTTCTTCTACATTTTATCTCTCAATAATTACACAAATTACAAATAGGGGAAGTTTCAAAGCTTGTCTTTAAAAAACTGGGCTATTTCTCAAAACCCTCAAGCCTTAAGTTGAAATATTGATTATGTGTTTTATATGTTTACATCATCAAACTAAGATCTACCACAAATATTATTTTTGAGTTATGTTATTCTTTAAGCCAATTCCTCCATTAGCATTTATACTGACGAGCACAGCATCAGTACAACACAGATGTCTTCTAAACCATTGCCATTATCATGAATACAGGGACTGAAAATGAGCAATCGGGGCTTTTTTCCATTACTTAACATAATGCGTTTTCGTATTTTCGCTTCTCATCTTTGCAATCTGTTCCACATAGTTCCTGTGGGGCAGAGCTTGTGCTGAGGAGGCTCCTTCCCCATACATCACACACAAACAAGACCAGAGCAACAACAGCCTGCTGCTACAGTCACAGCCACCAGCGGCGCGGTCCCAGTGGTACAATCCAGCCCGCTTGGCCTCACTTCTACAGCTGCGACATTTAGACCGGAGCTCATTCACTCAACTCCACTGGTGGCATGATATAAGATCACTGCGCGGTTTATACTGCGACACCGCTTTAGTCCAGTGATGACAGTTTCTTCTGCTTCTTCTGCTATTTAGAGTTCAGTACGCCACAGGGAAAGGCGTCGAATACTCTGAGCCGAGTTCTTTCAATGATGCGTTGAGTGACATGAGCACATCTGACCATTCCATTGAAATACACGTCGTTTGTTTTGAGCGGAGCAGAGGGCAAACCTGTCTTCGCTGAGTTCACGCATTGTAAACGCCCACGTGACCCCGGGCTCAGATCTCAGCGGGTGTGCTTGAGGTTTAGATATAGCTCCTCTGTGAAAGGAGAGGTTGCATATACCTCGAGTGGATTCAAATCATTCCCCGCACGGCTTAAAAGAGGCCAGCTGTTGGAGCCACACGAGCAAGACTGCCCCTTGACCCAGGAGAGGCATTTTCTCACTAAGCTCCTGGGCCACACCCTGCCAGCATGAAGACGTCCCTTTTCCCCTTGAGACGCAAATCCTCCCATGTTTAGCTTGACTATTTTGTTTAAAAAGAGGTTAAGTATTAAGTTGGTATGTGCCATGGTCTGTTTTATAATCAAGAGTCTTGTCACGATGCATATTATGAGCCAATCCATGTAAGGCGGTGCCAAAAATACAATTGGGATTTGTAACTGTGTAACTTTACTATGCAGGGCCACTGTTCATCATGTTTGTCATACTTTGATGTTGGTTCTCTTTGTGGCCACTACCTCCTTGTCAATGCCTGATAAAAACCAGATCTCAAAAGACAAAGCTGGATAGTTGGGAATTGCAATGTGAGACAGTGGGGCAACTGTGGCTCCAGTGAAAAGCATTATCAAAGCAAAGTTCCCCTACTATACATTCAATTCAAATAACTTTATTTATCCGTGAGGAACTTCATTTGTAGACGGAGCACCAGATGAAGTTCCTCACAAATAAATGAATTGAATGCATAGGTAGAGGGAAGTTTTGTAACCCTACTTTTAGCAGTCTTTTATATACTGTAGGATGCATTGTAAAAGCTGCAATGATTTCTGGCCTGGGGGTCTTAGACAAGAATTCCAAAGGTTTTATTTATGTCTGCTTGTGGACTAGTAAACGATTTTGTAAGCAAGTTTTTGAAGGGGTTTTCCCATTTCAAGATGACATCCGCTCACACAGGGTAACAACCGTGGTGCTTACTTGCGAGGCATCCTGGGTGAAAACTGCATCGAAGGCGAATATCTTTGGGACGGCGACGGTGGCGGACCTCCGGTGGCCTGAGCTGGAGTGAGGGCTGGATGCCGGGTCGTAGAGGGTCACCTGCTTCTTTCGGCTGTCCACTTTGAGAAAAGACTGGGAATCTGAGCCGGAGTCGGGAGCCTCCAGGGATGGGCAGATACGCATCATCACTTTCACCTAATCCACACAGGAGGAGAACACAGGCAACAGGGAGGATTATAGACAGAGCTGAAACATGAGCAGAATCACCAAACAGTAGCATGAGTGCATTTGGAGAGAAAATCACTACTTTGCACAGACTTTGCACAAGCGTTTAGAAGGCTGGAATTTCAAATGGGAAAGATTCAGTTCCAGACCAGTGTTGATGTATTTATCTGGGAGAGGATCAGGAGGTAAAACATGTAATATAATACAGGCGAGTTTGAAATATGGTACCTGAGTATTTTGATAAGGTAAATCTATTTTGGCTCTGTAACTTGTTTTCTCTATGGAAAGCCTGGTATTCAGCTCATTTTTTGCATCTGATTTTTTATAAACAATTTTTTGTACATTATGTAGGTATTTAGACCAAACTTTTTTTTTTTTAAATCTAATTTGAGTTTTAGACGCTTGGACTTGAGCAAAACTGGACTGACAGGAAGAAAGTCTATCAGTTTGCAATTACTGTTTATAATCAAATATTATTATGCTATTGTTTAGTGAATTCATTTTAAAATGATGAATAACATGCCATGGAAGCCCATATGAACCTCATTCTATGAATATTTGCAAGTTAAAATGCTTGTAAAACATTTTAAGTACCTCCTGCAATACCCCTGCATACCATCGGCTGAGAAAGACTGATATATACAACATATAACACTAAAAATAATCAATCAATACATTATCTTTTCAACAGTAAACATAGAAATAAAATATATGAATACAATATTTCTTAGTTTTGTTTGCTACTTTATTGCGGCAAGAAAACCCACTAGTTTGTCTTATAATTAAAATGACATCCAGCTTGCTGAAAAGAAATTGCAGAGACGAGAAAGCGAACAAACCAAATATTTGTTTCTAGTTTTGTCCGACTTGCGCTACAGAATATTAAAATCCACGGCAGATTCAAAAGGCGTTCTTCCTATTTTGAGTGGCAGAACAAGTTAATTAACAGTGTTCATAATTTGAAAGAAAACTGAACTGAATAGAGCTATGTTTGTAATCCCAATCATGAATCCAAAGGCAGAGCTATACTCCCCACCTCAACATATCACTAAAGGCTAAACCAACATTGCACCGTTTGAAACCCAGAAATAGCGTGGCTCCGCATTAACATGATCCTCACGTCCGCTGTGTCAAAGTTGACGGACGTTGAAGGTTGCCATGGATACCCCCTTTTTTAACATTGACTGTTGAATCTATTGGGTCAACACAGCGCTAATGGTGTCAGAGAAAGGCACTACGGTGTGCATTGAAAGTCACAGAGGAGAACTGGTGGAAAAAGAGACAAAAGTATACGGGAAGCCATGCTGGGGGATTATCTCCACACAAACAGCGGGGTTGTTTTTTTCTGGACCTTGAAAAGCACAGAGGAGCATATGGACTCAAGTCTCACCATCCCACCTACGCACTGTGCCCACTTCCACTCACAAGATCTCTATATCAAGGCATTCAATCATAAACGTACATGTCTTTCAAGTTTGTAGAAAAACAATAAGATTTTGGATATTGTTCAAGTCTATTTACTGCTGTGATTCAACTTACAATGTGATTATAATATATCACTCATTACACACAAAGTGGCAGATGTATAAGTGTGATACCGATGATTATGATTCACAGCTTGTAAAAAACAAAACAATAAAATCTCTCCAAAATGTAGAATGTTTCAAAAATGGACCATGTATGACAAACAAAAACTTGGCATATGTCTCTGAACATGTAAAGAGTCCTATATTGGTGTCAGCTTTTAAGTGTATCTACAGAAATAAATGAACTTTTGAACTAATTTCACATGTTTCAACTGTATAAAAGACGTACCATTGCCTTCTATACTTGTGACTGGGGATGTTACAATTTCACATTTTACAGTTACGATTACTGTGGGAAAAACCCATGTTCTAAAGAATATATGAATATATGATGAGTTCCTATCTAAGTTCATGAGTGGTTGAAGTTGGTTTTATTATGTTGGTTTGAGCCTAAAAAAACTAAATCTAAAATAACATTTGCATAAAGAACAGGCTTACTTAACGGTGCATTATGGCACTTTGTATATGAAAAAGGTGGATATATTTGACCTTAGTGACACAGTGGCTGTATGCACGGTGCCTTCATGCCTTCATGGTCGTGTCTACAGAGCTCCAGGATCAATTGTTTTGTAGGTTTTCTGGTAAGAGGGTCCCAAAAGCTTCTAATTGATCCTATAGCATCCAAGGGACCGCTGTGATGGAAATTAAAGGCACCATGCTGACCACTCATATGCTACTGGGTAAACACAGGTCAAACATGCAAAAATATAAACTTTTTTTGACATCAAGTAGCATAATGCACATATAGGTAAAAAAAAAAAATCAATTTCACTCTTTTTGAGAATCGAAAGAGAAAGACTACTCTTACTGGTTCTTTCTGCAAATAGGATAGAAAAGAAAAGAAAGAAAAAAAAATTAATAAGAATACTGGTTTTTTTTCTTCTAAAATGATCACAAAACAGTATTTTTTCAGTGTGTACGATTACACTGTGACCAAGTATTACATACAAGCCCACACATGACTAATCATTAATTCTGAAAAAGTTTTTATAAAATGACAAAGCTGACAATGTGCCTTGCCCAAAGATACAACATCAGTATGGCTGCAGCTGTATTATAAAAACCTCAAAATCTAAAGCTGTAGAGTCACATCTTTTCCAGCACAATCGAGACGAGTAATTTAGTTTTACTAAAAAAGACAAAATAATGGAGACAATAATAGCCAATGCATTATGTCGCATTGTCAGATTTCAGATAGATGTTTCCGTGGCGCAGGTGTGGTCTATCCAGCTTTTGTGTCGAGTCCTATTTCTGTAAACTATCTATGCAACGAGATAGGCTTTTTATTTCTCACAAAGAGGAGGAAAACAGCGCCGTGACTGACAGCAGGCATAAACGGCTCTCGTGAAACGTTTAGCAGACTTGTCAACTCCCTGCACTTTACACCTATATCACTTTCTATACTTGCCCGTGTATGTGATAGGAAACTCAATGCAAAAAACTGTGCCAGAGCCTTTTTAAAGAAAACGCTATACAGGCCTCGCAGGCACTGAAACACAACCTGAAAATACTCCTCTCCGCATTTTGACAACCTGGGCCTCTCTCTATACTCCATACGCATAAACAAAAGCCCCATTCTTCCCATGGCGTGTGTATAAATATTGCTCATGCTATAGCCGGGCTCTTTGAAAACAATGCCACTGGAAAGCCCTTTCTTTCAGTAAGTGGATTCCTCAGACCAAATGCAGGCCCACAGACGACCCCATAGAGGCCAGTTAGAGTGACTGACGTGTGCATATGTCAACCGAATTGCAATTGCTGACATCTAAAGTGGGCTTACCCAGATGACCGCTGAGTGGGCCGAGCAGACAGAAGGCTAACTGACCCGCTTGTTTTATTTATGTTGGCTGAGATCAGATAGTGAAGGCCACAGAAGGTTGGCCACGGTCTTTTCACACCTCGCTCTCTTGTGCTAATGGCGGATGATTCCCCCTGTCCCGTGATCCACTAGAAATCCATTAGTGTGGTCAGGCATTCCCCATACGAGCGAAAGTGAGCAGGGCTTGTTCGACTCTGACCTACATATGATCACACTGATAAACTGTAATGTAAAGAAAACAGTGGACTCCTAAAGGCATTTACAGATTCAAGGTTTGAAAAAACATGCAGGATTACTGGGATCGGGCTTGTCTCTCCACAGATGGGGCCTGTAAATGAGGCTTGATGCAGTTACTTGCTTGTTTGAATAGAGATAAAGTTTAATCTTGCACTAAGCGAAGCAGTAACATCCACAGAGTCCGTATAATAAAGTCTTCTCGTCACAAAGGTCTCTGTTGATGGAATATAAAACACATGAAGGTCTTTGAATGCATGTATGTGTATATATGGTAGTAATGTTGGGTAGAAACTTTTGCAATCCTAAAGTGTCAGGTTCAGGGTAAAGAAAGTCATTTTGGAATTCAATGTGGAATTATGGATTTGTCACATCTTGTCTGACTTGATTTTGATAAAAGGATTAGAAAAAATAAGCGTTAAACTTCAACCTAACTTTTTTGGTCTTAGGTGGTCTCTTAGGTGGTGGTGTGCCATGTGATTTTTTTCAACGCCTCAGCTCAAAAAAGGTTGTGGAACACTGAGTCCCCTGTATGGAGCGTCTCTGAAAGATCCACTAATCTGGATGTAATTGTTCTAGTATGAAAATGTTTTTGTTGTTGACTGATGATAAAGGAAATTATAAAAATTAAAATAAATAATTGAAATAATGAACTGTCTTATAATTCAATACAACAAACGTATATAAATGAAATAAATATGGTACAGTGATAATTCTTTTGGTGATAGAACCTCAGATAACTTTGTGAAGTGTCCAGTAATCTTCAGGTGGATGATTTGTATGTACAGTGTAGTTCCCATGCGCCTGGATACCTGGCAGCAGGGGCGCGCTCTTCCTATCCAGGTGGGGTCTGATCTTGTTTGGGGGACTTCTGCATTCTGAATACAGGACGTGGGCTCAGACAACAACAATGGCCAATAAACCACAAAGGAAGAGTGCCGTGTTTATACAGCTTTGTTTAATGACTGTCCATAACTGCCAGTCTCTGCCTTTCATCATCACACACTGTACCTGCGATTACAATAAGACATCCCGCTGTAAACATAAGCAAAGATTAGTGAATTATAGTTTTGCTGAAGTCCAGTGTTCAAAGAGAAGAATGCCAGTCTCAGAACAGACCAAATTCATGGCATTCCAGTAGGCTTATCCAGCTACATCTGTACGGCCTGGACCAGACGCCCAGTGCAGCCCAGAAAGCGCCGTCTCCTCTCGGCATTCTTGTCTCTAAATAGGCGTTTGTATGTGTATGTGTGTGTATGTGTGTGTGTGTGTGTGTGTGTGTGTGTGTGTGTGTGTGTGTGTGTGTGTTCTACTGTTTGTGTACGGCGGCCATGAAGCTGGTAGGAGCCATACCTTTCCCATGCCCGGATTGTCTTTGACTTTGGACACGGCGCGGAGCAGGCATGGCGGCGCAGGCGGGGGCAGGGCCTGGAGGATGCCGGTGAAGTTGGTGGGGTAGATGGAGGGTTCCTGGGCGTGGAGCAGTGAGGGCTGGTGCTTCTTGCGCTTGGATGAAAGATTCAGCTTCTGAGCTGCCCTGTAAAAGACCGGAGGAGAGGGTGAATAGGATGCTTAGATAAGATCTAAATCAGCGCTGCTCGTTACAAGTTTCTCCATAGCCTCACACCAAAGCAAATAAGTGACATGTTTGTTCCATCTGAACCAACTCGGACTCTGAGGAGCACAGGGACTGGCCTCGTGCTGGTGCCCAGAGTCAGAACTAAACATGGGGATGCAGCATTTCAGATTCATGCAGCTAAAATCTGGAACAGTCTTCCTGAAGATGTGAGACAGGCTTTAGCTCTGACAGCGTTCAAATCCAGGTTAATTATTATGCCTTGTGTAATTGTGTCTATCTTATTCTTTGCAGCACTTGCCTTGTGTATGAATTGTACTATACAAATAAACTTGCCTTGCCTTGTCTAATGACAGTATACATAAGGGGTCTCCAACCCTTCTCAATTGGTGAGCTACCAGAAGAGGCAGAAAGCGAATCCCTTTTTTAGTCGTAATAAACGTCTACAGCAATGCATGGAGAACACAGATGTAGAATATACCATAATACTGTAAAACAATACATTTGTACTTAAAATTCACTCTAAATCCTTTGGGGAGCTACCTGAAAGGAGCTGGCGAGCTACAGGTTGGAGACCCCTGGTATACATTATGGCGTGATCGTGTCTACCTAAGGTTGCAGGAAGAAGATGTGATTTTTTTTTTTTATGAATCGTGATCATAAGACAAAACAGTAATATTGTATTGGAAATCTAAAGGATTTTACTAGGAAATATATTCTTTATTTTGTGTTTTTTTGATATTCTTATCTTGAATGTTTATATCTTGATATTGATACAATAATAATCTATTCGCACTGTTGTTACGTGTATGTACTTTTGACATTAATATAAATCCAATGTACTTTTGGTGCATTCCACTTTTGCTGTTTTAATGTGTACTTTGATGTACTGTCCAAAGTGATATCCCTTGTGGATCAATAAAGCTTGTCTGAAGTCATATAAATAAATTAATTATGCAATGATATTATGAACTAGTATTCAACAGTTTTTACATGTGATGGCATTTTGGAAAAAGCATTGAAAAAAAAAAAAACAGTTTGAACTCATATAAACCAGTAAATCTGTAAAACATACCATTTCAATAAACAATTTGTCCACAAAGCCGTGTCCTGCATATGTTTTCTGTTATGACTTGAACAGACAAATATGTCGCAACCTTACACAACCCCTTCTTTAAAACCGATTCTCTTCCAACACCTCCAGCAATACATATCTGGCCACCATTCCACTCAGAACAGGGAAAACTGCCATATAATTAGATTTCTGCTGACAGATGCTCCACGTTCAACACGTAAGTGATTATCATGCAGGACACAGTGCCTGACAGGGATTAGAAATGGGCTGTCATAACACTAAACGTGTGCGTTTGTCTTGATCAAACACAAAACAACTGTCAAGTACATGTCAGGCTGGACGGCTCAAACACTCCCCTCCAAAATCCTTTCCTTTTCATCCTTCCTTTGGACTCATTTCTAAGGTCAATTCAGATTTGTAAAAAGTTGCATCTTTAATAATCTGAGATGAGAGAGAGTTGGGTTTTTGTCCCAGGACAGTGAATGCCATCTGTTTGGGGTTTGACTGGAGGTTTGTGTTTCTGTGGGTTCACTTCAGGTGCAGTGGCTTTCACCCAAAGCCCAAGGACATGCATGTGTTCAGTGAACTGCTGAATGCAAGCAGCACATAGCAAAGGAATGTAAAACCATTGCATTTCAAAGTATACGCCGCAGCTTAGACATGAAAAGGGTTGGATCAACACTGGCTCTTACAATTATAATAATTCAGGGAAAATCATTGAGTTCTTAAACAAATTTTTTAGGAATGGTTTAATGGTTAACTGCTTTTTATTTAAAAAAAAAAAAAAAGACTATTAGAATGCCCTCTGGTGGTTTTACACCAGCCTTATAGTCTTATATGGGTAATTTAGAAAGAAAAGTCTGTTTATACTTATTATTAACAGTTATTAAGCATTAATTGGAAGAATAATTAGTTATTGAACCCTACATATTTGTAAAATACTGAGAATACGATTTATGGCTCTAGAACTATTCTTTAATGACAGCAGTATGGTATGAAAATGTGTTAACAAAGTAGTTTTAAATCATCTCTGAAGATGTTCTCCAGGGGCATCACTAAAGCTATGTTTTGGTAAAAAAAAAAAACAACAACTCAATTAATCAAAAGAATAATGGGGGAACTAATTAGCCACTCCATTATAAAAGTAATTGCCCTAGTTAAGGCACTAATCAACACCAGGCCAACGAGGCTTTTAACTTGAACACCAATGGAACTCCAACCTGATTTTTATAGTGGAAAATCTCTCAGCATGGAATGTTCCACTGTATGGCATTAAACTCTCCTCCTTGAAGATGATTTCACCAAACAAGTTACAGAAAGAAAAAACTTCCAATAAGATCCACCCTTCTCCACTATCAGGAATATGAGAACGAACGGTTGTCTGACTCTCCCACACGCGAGTCACTTGACATGCTGCCTCATGTCCAGAGTAACTTTGAAAGGCTACTGGCAGCTCACAGTTGAAAGAGGCTGTAAAGAGCGAATCAATGAATCGTCCGCTTCTGTGCAGACCTACAGGAAACAGGTAAACCTTACTACAACTATTATCAAATACCGAGACAAATTGCTGTCTGCACACTTCCTCTGCCCGGGCACCGACCAGCTCTGCTCCTGTAACACTATTTGGCTTTTTGACAGCGTTCTAATTAAAATCCACTGTCCAGTTGCCCCTGCTGTCTCCTGAAGTCACCTCTGTGGCGACACTGATTGGTCAAACGGCCTGCTACTTGTCCTCATGCACTCCTTTCACATCCCTGAACTCTTCCAACCTCCCAAAGACACCAATATCTCAGTCTGGTGCCTGCAGGGGGGGAAGCCAGCCAGACTGTAAAGTGGTTCCAGGTACGACGTGGATCAGCTAACACTGCATTGGAAAATTCAAGGTCAGGAATGGGAAAGCAATCCCTCAAAACATTTTCCCATCCAACCAGTCAGTTTGATTTCAAAAGCAACACAGCGGAGACAAAGCCGCGCTTGTCAACATGAAAGTAGAAGAGGGTGGCACAGCGAATGAAAGAACTGGAGTGAGATTAAAAGATGAGAAATTGTGCAGAGCAAGGGTTTTAAAGAGGAGGGTGAAAGAAGCAGAGCATGTCAAAAGCGAGGGAGGGAGGGAGGGAGAAAGAAAAACGAGAGAGTGGGATGTATGCAGAACGGGGCAAATCCATGTGGGTCTTGGAGAGCTCCTGAAAGACCAGCTTGTGCTCATTAGCCGTTTCTCGTGCTGGACAAGTCGAGAACGCTGCTGCCAAAAACAAAAAAAGGAGAATTTCTCATCTCCAGAGTCCTTTACTCGAGTGACAAGAAGTATACGCCGCCCTCCTCCCCTTCTCCCGGTGCGCTCGCCCCCTGCAGCGACAGCCCAAGAGCACAATCAACGAACACACTGGCGGCTGATGGAATAATTATTGCAAACAAGAAGGGCTCCAATCCCCAGGGAGCTGCCTTATGTGTGAGAGCATGCGAGACGGATCGTGTGACTGGCTAAAAATGAGATGGAAACGATGAATGTGAGGCGGGGAGAGATAGACAGACGGGGGGAATGAGTAGAGTGGTCGCACGTGGTTGTGATATGCACGCCATATAGCAACTGCGGCAACATGTGCATAAGATAAATGAAGGTAGGTGTCTCCTTGCCGCGCAAATCAGGCATCGGAAAGTCAAAACATGCAGAGAAAGGTGGGTGTAATTGCAAGCTGGCAACCTTGAAATCTCATTCATGCCGGACAATGGCGCTCTATGAAAGGAAAGGGGAGGAAAAATAGATGACAGTCGTGGTTTTGCAAAACACGTGTACGTATGGGAAGGACGGAAATTAATTGCAGGGCTGTTTCTGCTCCCTTTAGATGGTCTATACCACATCTTGCACCACTTTGCTGCTATGTGCAACTATATATAGTCAGTGTTGAAAATTGTTCACTTAGATATAGATGTGTATGTAACAACAGCTTGCCCACCTGTTCATCCTAAATTAAACCACTCATTTCATTTCATATCAATTTGACTGGGAGGAGTAAAGAATGCAATCCATACATGCACTTTTCAGGTAAATCTACTTACAGCTCTTTCCAATCCATCCTCTAGTTTATGATCATAGTCAAAAAACAGACAGTTCAAGTTTGCGGTCCAGGTCTGCGCTGCTGGAGTTCTCCATTATTTGTACATTTGATCCACCGCAGGGGCGCGTAGTAGAAGTAGTAGTAGTGGGGACACAGTGAGGCGGGGCTGCACCCAAAAGTCAGGGACACTCGAGTCGTATTTTTCTAAAGCTGCGATGAGATGCATGAAGTTGACGACAGTTTAAGTAGTAGGAATAAGTGAAGAGGTGTTGAAAGTGTTGTAGCCAGAGCCATAGCAGCTGTGTCAGAACCATTCAGCTATACAGGTAAAGGGATGAGGTGGTCCACTGCAGGCTGTAAGGAGGTCAAGAGCAGTCCACTGAAAAATGTCAATTCCAAAGTTCAGAGTAGCATAGCAACAGCTGGCTTTCCAATAACTTTACATCCAATGAGTTTTCCTTTCCCCCACGGGCTGCATGTGTCCTTGTATTTTCTCCCTCTCCCTCTATCTCTCTCACAGTTAATCCTTCAGAATGACTGCCGGTCCGGGTGTCCAGAGTTTTCTGCTGCAGGATCAGGGAGGGGAGAGCAAGCACGGCACGCCTGACTGCTCCGCGGATTTCCACGGGTGGCTGGGAACGAGGAGAATTCTTGGTGCTCGCTCTGCCTCTCAGTCCCTTCTCCCAGCCGCTATCAGAGAAATGCTGGCAGCTGTCCTACCTTCCCTCTCCCTCTCCCTCTTTCTCTCTCTGCTTTTCTTTCCTCAGCCCAGCCCCTTTTCTCCCTGACTGCCAGACGAGGTGTCAGCTCTTGATTGCTGGCTGCTC